GTGGAGCAAATCAACATCAGAAGATGACTTGGGCAGAGGAGGATAAGTCATGGAGTAGCAAATAATATCTTGAAATCTAATTGGCATGTCCGGAGGAAGCATCAATAATGTAAAAAAAAAAAAAAAAACCTGAATGAATTCACTTATCTCTCTCTCATAATCAGGCTAAAAACCACATGATGCCCTAATATCTCACAGCCCAAAGCCAAACTGCATTGAAATATCTCTTTCTTGTTACCATTCTAAGATTTAGAGAAGTCCTGCTAAATTGTCTTTACATCCACCAATCTTGTTTGAGATGAGAACAATTCAGGAAAAAAAATACATTAACATGAACATCCAGAATCTGGGATTAGTATAAAAAGTAGAGATGTGTAGGGCTTCCCTGGTGGCGCAGTGGTTAAGAATCCACCTGTCAACGCATGGGACATGGGTTCGAGCCGTGGTCCAGGAAGATCCCACGTGCCGCGGAGCAACTAAGCCCGTGAGCCACAACTACTGAAGCCCATGCTCCGCAGCAAGAGAGGCCACCGCCATGAGAAGCCCACGCACCGCAACCAAGAGCAGCCCCCGCTCGCCGCAACTAGAGAAAGCCTGCGTGCAGCAACGAAGACCCAACACAGCCACAAATAGATAAATAAGTAAATTTTAAAAAGACAAACAAAAAAATATCTCAAAACTAGCGAACATTCTGAAGCTTCTGAAGCTGACACAGTAGTAAAAAGGTAAAAATGTACATTTTGGCTATTTAAACTGGTTTAGAAATAGATAGCTAGTTCCTTATTTTACCTCGAGTATTCTCTGCCAACAGTGGTGGCAGAGAATAAGATGCTTAAATTCTCTGCCAACAGTGGTTTACCTCTGTGACCTGAGGACGGGGGTAAAAAAAGGGGGGGAGCATGTTCACTTTATACATTTCTGTATTTCTTGAAGTTCTTTTTTCTACCAAGTATTTGCTACCTATGTAATTAAAAAAAAAAAAAATATTCTGCTTCTGTTTTTCCAGGCCATCTTTCCTGGTGATCTGAATATTTAAAATTCTTATTCAGGTTTATCATATTCTATGTAAAGGGGAAGACTGATTCCAGAACTTTCTTGATATAAATTTTTGTTTGAAACGTTCTCACAAACCACACACCCAGTCTATGACATAGATTGTGGTGACAGTTTCATGAACGTATACTTAACTCTAAATTCATGAAGTTGTATATGTTAAATAGGTACAGCCTTTTGTATATGAATCATGTCTCTAGTTTAAAAAAAAAATCGCAATCAGGTTTTATATAAGATTAGAATGCATCAGGCCAAATCTTCTGTCACTACACTAGAATTTTCCAAACACAGCCTCCTGTAACTGCAAATAAAGCCTCTGATGGGAACATAAGCGAGTACTACAGGTTTGAACAACTTTTAAAAACTCTACCATAAACCTTTTGTTTCCTCAACTGTTATTTCAAAACCTTGATGTCACCCTTTTGGGAGGAATTTTTCCAGACTAAAGCCTCCTGACTGGCAGTAAAAGCACTGAGTGCCCACTTTGTTTTTTTTTTTTTTTTGCGGTACGCGGGCCTCTCACTGTTGTGGCCTCTCCCGTTGCGGAGCACAGGCTCCGGACGCGCAGGCTCAGCGGCCACGGCTCACGGGCCCAGCCGCTCTGCGGCACGTGGGATCTTCCCGGACCGGGGCACGAACCCGCGTCCCCTGCATCGGCAGGCGGACTCCCAACCACTGCGCCACCAGGGAAGCCCCCACTTTGTTTTACCCGATACATCAGACCCTAAAAATGGGGTGCAGTGATAGGGAGAAAAATTAATAGAGCAGTGTAAAGTAAGCTGCTGCTTCATTAGAGGTGACCGACTTCTCCATGACCACTTCCTGCATCCCCCTTAGAAAGATCTAATAGATTCCACAGCCTTTATTGCAGTCATAAGACTCACTAACTTTTCCGCCAACCCTTTTAGCAGATGTCTCATAACATGATCATCACTGGGCTTACGAATGAAGGTGCCGAGGACCTTTTGAGAAACTGTCACCACACTGCTTCATCCCATGTCATAAAAGCAGTGATACTGCCCTTCTCCCCTCAAGGTATTAACAAGGGTAAACTTTTCAGGTCCTTGCTAATACCGCCACTCTTTGAGTCTACCATTGGACCCAAGTCTCTCCAGGTGTTTGAGTGGTAGGTATAAAAACCAGTGAATTCGTGCCTCTAAAAGAAAAAAGAAAGGCAATGAATTTCCTTCTATTCCATAGATAGTTACTGGCCTAGTGCTTCAGCCTCAGCCCCTGCTCCAGCTTTCCCTGGTCATGACTCCCATGCAGATCACTGCATTTGTACAGCACACTGGGGGAACTGGATGAAGCTGGTCAGAGCCAGACGTGACTGGCTTGACACAGGGAGGGAGGGAGGCGCTTGGGAAGTCTCAGGCCCCACTCAGCCCCGCAGGGCTCATTCCTGACACACTGGTTGGGAAGCTCAGCCTAGCCCTTCAGCTCGATGAGTCTCAGGTCCGTGAAGCGAGCCAGTAACCAATACTAAACTCAACAAAGCCTGCTGGACTGTTTTCCCAGAGTCAGTCAGTTACTGGGTATGACCTTCAAACTATGAGATTTAAAACAGCAGCGTGTGCACGTGCGTGTGCGTGTGTGTATGTGTGTGTGTGTGTGTGTGAATGCTACCCTCTTTTTCGTCTCCCATCCTCATTCAGCAAGAATTTTTTTTTTTAATACCAAATTAACAGAAAGTGCTATGAAGCATAGAAGATGGAACAGATACAGACTGTGCCCTCAAGGAAACCTCTCTCCTGTAGGGGAAGGAAGACATGTATATAAATATATATTTGCTGAATGAATAAAAGAAAAATTGCATGAGGTAAACAGTGACGCTTTCCAGAAAAGAGTTATAAATAAACTTCTATGGAAGTGAGGCAGGAAAAGTTTCCTTCTGGACAGGTTAAAGGAATCGTGAGAGAAGAAAGCACTGAGACCACATCCAGTAAGAGGCTGCTACGGGACTCAGTTATCCACCAGGGCAGAAGAAAGGAAGCAGAATATTCGACCATTTAACATGAATAGTTTGGAAACCAATTTCTGCTAAAAAGAGGTGGGGTGTGGGGTTGAGGACAGTGGGAAAGAGAAAGTTGGAATTAAAATAAAAATTTACAAAAGTTCTCTGATAGGTTTTTATTGCTTTCCCCACCCCTCCTTATATCAGATAATTGAGAGCCTGAGGACCTGTTAATATTTTTTAAAAGCGACTCATTCCACCTACAGAAAAGGGATTGTGGGTTACAAGCCAGTCCCTGCGATCACCCTTCAACTATCAGCTTAGACGTTTTCTTTCCTGAAGGAATTCCAAGGAATAAGGAAGCTTCAGCTCATCACCAATGTCAAGAGTTTACAGTAAGCGGTGCTGTGGCCCACAGAATTCTATAACCTGCTTTAGCTAAATCCATTTCTGAATTACCCAGTCAAGTGGTATGAACAGAGCTAGTCCTTCCATGGCTCTGAATTCCTCTAAATGCTGGAGAAATTTACACGACCGCTTTTCATTTCTGAAGCGGACACGGCTTAAAAGTCACTGTTGGCCCATGCAACCCCATCTCTTCTTGAAAGAGAAAAGTCCTAGTTATTTCCACCTATCTCAAGAGGGTGAGAAGCTTCTGCCTCACAGCGTTCTCATACGGGAGGTGAAAGCAAGGTAAAAGAACCCTGCTGTGAAAAGTATTTTCACTAGTGGTAGAACACAGGAAATACTAGTTACGACATCAGCATTAAGGTATCGCACACAATGTCCAGTCATCCCAAAGACAAGCATTTAGAACACTGTGAGTCTGCAGCTGTACCCCTCCTATATCTACCCATCTTACTGCTTGGACCGCGATGACGTGGCTTTGAAGAACTTTGCTAAATAGTCTCTTGACTAATCTCAGGAGGAAAGAGAATATGCTGAGAGAATTATGAAGTTGCAGAACCAATAAGGTGGCTGAATCTTCTTTCAAAAGGAGATCAAGAAACTGGACCATGATGTCTGAGAGTGTGCTGAACACAGAGTGAGTGTGCATTACGCTTGGAAAGAGTGTCAATCAGCCACTACTGGAACTACACACAGTGGTCCCTGACAAAAACAATCCCCACCTGTGTGACTTTATGGAGACTCATTACCTGAATGAGGAGGTGAAATCCATCAAAGACCTGCGTGACCACCTAACCAACCTGTGCAAGAGGGGGGGGTCCCTGAATCTGGCACGGCAGAGGCTCTCTCTGACAAGCACACCCTTAGAGGCAATGATGGCAGAGCTGAGTCTTAGGCCATAGCCACGGGGGTGTAACTAAGCAGGACGCTATGGGACCTTCCCGAGACAGACCCCTCGCCCATATCCTCCGCTGGAGCTCCTCTCTGAAGTACCCAGATAACAGGCACTGATACACATTTCCGGAGTTGTTTTGCAAATGTTAAAACCACCACCAAATGGAAGAAATTAACTACCTGAGGTCATACGTGGTCATGACTATGTAGCCCACAGACCTACTGGTAATGTTAACCCCTGTGACACCGCCCTGTTCCCTCACCATCAACCAAGCAGAGATATGTGTGCAAGTTGATCACATGCTCTGGGACTCCCCTCCCTCACCTGGTGTTTAAAATGCTTTACCGAAACCCACCTGGGAGTTCGGGTGTTTTGAGCACTAATTACCCTGGGTTCATTGCTTGGCGCCTGCACTCAACGCTGCACTTGCCTTCACCACAGCCAGATGTCAGACTGGCTTTACTGCACACGGCTGAGCAGACCCAAGTTTGGTTCAGTAACAGGGGGTGGCTGACATCCCTGGTCCCCCAAGCAGTACATGCACGTTGGGGTTACTTTGACTTTTTCTATAAATTGTACTAAAATATTCACTTAAATTCTCTCATTCATATCATTCCTCCAAATAAAGTAATTTGGTACCTACTCCCCACCCCCCCAAAAAACAAAATAAAACAAAACCGTGAGTGCTACCTGCCATCAAAGAAGAAGAACTTCCCCCGTCCGTTCTTTTCTCCGTGAATGAAGTTGCCCTCAAATCTGTCTGTGGAGGAGTAGGTGACTGTGCAGAAGCCGTGCGGTAATCCGTCATCATCCAGGTGCCCTGGAGAAAGGGAACCACAAGGCAAACCTTAACATCGTCCACGTTCACCCACCATCATCTGTGCTCAGATGCTGCCAGCAAGTGCCCCGTGCAGCTCAAGGGTCCCTTCCCTGCCTGAGGGGAGAGCGAACACCAAGGTTTCCCTGCCCGCATCAGCACCGTCAACTCCGCTCTTAGGTACACTTTAGAAAGGACGGGTCCACAACAGAGGGCCTTAGACACGTGTAAGGTTATGAACCAAAGCCACGCTCATATTTCACCGGGGACTGAGAGTTATTCTCAATAATAACACCTGCAGTGTGAGTTTCAGCTGACCCAGTACTTCCCCCCAGGGTACTGCTCACGTTTGGAATTAGCGCCCCCGAGCTCTCATGCTTAACGGAAACACAGCTGAGATGGCACACTGTCTTGGCAATAAGTTATCTGGTTCTAGAACTAAGTACACAATACGACTTCATACATCCTTATGTAGTAGGTGGAGCCCTGCTAGCCAGGTGCCCTCTGAAAAGGATAGAGCCATGTCTTCAAGACTGCCCGAATATCTACACCTCATGGTACGAACACACGAACTCAGAGTCCCTCGAAGCTTAAACTTAAGCTTAACATTGAACTTACTGCTTTACTTCACAAAATCTTTCAGCTTTGAATGTTCGGTAATCACCTTGTCATACACCCTCTACCCACTGTGTTCAGAGGGTTTGTGCTTTAAATGTAGTTAGAAGTGTCCACATGACCATTTAAGCCGTGATTTTGAACATCAACAGCGATTATTACACTGTGATCTTTAAACTGCTGGTTCTTCTTGGGTCACCGATTGGTGTACTCTTATATTTACATTTACAGTCAATGTTTAGGTTTTTTATTATTATCTACATATTTCACAAAACCCAAGAGTCACCTCACTGGTGCCTCCCCGGTCATTCTGGTGAACTAATTTTGCAGAGGCAGGTGAAAATGAAGGCAGCAGTTAAATCTACTGGCTTTCTCCTGGGTTAATGACCTGAGTCATGGATGAAAAAGGTATAAAAGCATTAAATACTGTGTGCAGTGCAGGGACATTAAACACTTAAATGTGGCTTCCAGATGGCTCACAAACATAAAAGAAAACACAAACCATTTCACCACAACGAATGCTTTACTCTCCTAAAAGAACTTCTTCTAAAGTGATAAACGAATGTCATCCCTTAGAAGAGATAGGAAGTAAGCTCTCTTATAAAGAATGAAAAAGCTCTTTATTTGTATTATTACATAAACATAAAATAAAAATGAACAAATGCACTGTTTTATTGCTACATCTGATTCTGCATAGAATGAACTACCTGGAATATATTACATTAAAACATGGCTACTTAAATAAATCACAATCAATAAGGTTCCTTTCCTCTTAACCCAAATTGTTTTCTAACAAGGGCCAGGAAATTAATGGTTAGGAGGGAAGTAGGCCACAATTGCTTCCTTCTTGCTTAAAAACCAAAAACTGTACCTGACATAATTCAATGACACTTGAGTCATATGAAGTGATTTGGACAATTATTTTCTAAATATCTACTGATGGCGTTTCTCTCATTGAAATAAATTATATCTACTTTTTCTCCTTTCATTAAAAAAAAACCACTCAGTGTATAGTTAAAAGCTTCCTTTTATGAAATGTTGCTCAGATCAAATTAAATTTAGCTACTTGCATTCCTACAAATTTAGTATTCCACTTCTGATTTAGGTACAACTATCAGAATAATCATTTTCACCTTATATCGAGGTACTTACTAATTTATTGGAAACGCTTTCCCCATAGAAAACAGTTCACATATTTCAGACTTTATAAAGTTAATGTTTGATAAAATTAGTTATTCTACTTTAGATCAAGAGAAATATTATGATAAACATGAACACTAAGAAGAAAAAAAAAAATCCAATGTTAATTCATTTCCACCTTTGCTCAGTTGCAATAGTCCTATCCTATTTCTGAACAAACACTGCAGGTGCACCCTCAGCAATGGCATTTAGATATCAGAGAAACTGGGAAGCATCACAGAACACACTAAAAGCACTTGAAGGACAGTACTGAACCCCACTGAGATGAAAGCAAAAAAATCACCCCTGCTCCATGAAGGATGCTTATGCCCATGCCTCCTTCCACAGGCCAGTGAACAGAAGTCCCATCACCTTGTCAGGCTCTAGGGAGGGAGAACAGAGAAGCTGCTGAATGATGGCTGTTTCTCTGGGGACACTGTGTGTTTAGAAAGAAGGCTCAGACTTGTGACGATTCCCTGCCTTTCTAAAGGTGTTTAGGCTGCTTGTTGTGAGAAATCTCCCTCTATCAGATCACAGCAGAATCCTCTGTTTGGCTCATTTGTTTTGTTTTCTTCTCATCCTTCCAAAAGGAGGATGATGTGATCAATGACCAGGATGTGATCAATGACCGGGATCAATGAAAAGGAGCTAAAAGTTAAGGCTTGCGATAATTCAAGACTTCCACCCTGAATATGTAACAGCCAGGGGTGGTGTTCCTAGCAGTAGAACTTTATGTTTAAAACAACAGCCACAACCAAAACAATAACAACAACTAAGGGACCTTCCGAGGAAAGAAACGTCAGGAAGAAAAGACATTAGGCTGGGACTTCCCTGGTGGAGCAGTGGTTAAGAATCTGCCTGCCAATAAAGGGGATACGGGTTTGAGCCCTGGTCCGGGAAGATCCCACATGCCGCGGAGCAACTAAGCCCGTGAGCCACTACTGAACCTGTGCTCTAGAGCCTGCGAGCCACAACTACTGAGCCTGTGTGCCAGAACTACTGAAGCCTGCGTGCCACAACTACTGAAGCCTGCATGCCTAGAACCCGTGCTCCGCAACAAGAGAAGCCACCACAATGAGAAGCCCGCGCACGGCAACAAAAAGTAGCCCCTGCTCGCTACAGCTAGAGAAAGCCCCCGCGCAGCAACGAAGAACCAATGCAGCCAAAAATAAATTAATTAATTTTAAAAAGAAAAATAAAGAAAAAAAAGAGAAGAGATTAGCTTGCTGAGACCTCATATCTCCTATCAATGTTAGTGCGAGAGGAGCTTCTGGTACAACTCTTGTTCCGCTGCCATTTGGACAATAAGATCATGTAATATCTGTCTTGCCAGCAACAGTCAATTTAATGGAGAGGGAGACTGATACACAGAGAAGAAAAAACTCTGTATACCTACTATGCATCAGGCACTGGGTTATGTAATTTCCTGTTATCTAAATTAAACCTTACAACCATCCCTCAAATTCCACTCTTATAGATGAGGAAGCCACTGCTATGTGCCCAAGAAATACATTAACTGCTACCCTGAACGCGTTCATGGATGCTGAAGGCCCCTTCCCCCAATCCTCCAATCCCTCTTCTCTCTGGTCAAGGGCAAACTGGCCGAACACCCTTTCTTCCCTGCCGATGGTGGAAGAAGCAACCTCTAAAGAGGGAGGTGTTCTCAAGTCCCAGGCAGAGAAGTGGAAGACGCCTTTGTAGTTAAGATAGTTCTCACAGAACCACCAGGATCTTCACCAGCACATCCTGGTGGCAAATGCCTGTCTCTTCCAAGTGTTACTCAATGCAAAGAGAAATGCTAGTCCAGCTTGCTCTGATTGAGATCAATCTGTGCAATGCGCCAAGTCAGCCAACAGCCTTCCGGGCCAATTCCCACTCAACAGAGATTGAACGCCAACCCAAACAACAGGGAAAACCCACTTGAATGACTGCTCTGTGTTGGGAATGCGGTCCCAGCTCGTGTGCCGTATATCTGTCTGCAGCATGGTTTTAAATATTGACTGAAGTTAGAGGAAGAGGGAATAAAACATAATCGTCTCACAAGTCTAGTTTTTCACTCTGTTCTAAAGATCATTATCTACTGAACAGAGAGAAAGTTCAATTTTTTCCCCACGGGTTCCCTCGGAGCTTTCTCCTGAACCTGATGAGAGCCAGGCCTGTATTCTATGCAGTGACGGTACCTCTCAGCACAGGAAATTCCCTCTGGATCGGACATCTGGCTGCTTACTGCCTCAGACTTATTCACAGGACATCTGGGTGTGTGTGTGTATATGTGTGTGTTTCCCTCAGAACCAGAGGCCCTTACATGCATTGTTGGTTTTGTATAATAGAACTACTTTAAAAAAAAAAGTAATAATAATAAAAAGGCAAACTTATTCTGTTTAGTGCAAAGAATGTGCCCTCATGATGATACACTTACGCTGGTGGTTAAAGACATAACCTGAGGGCTTCCCTGGTGGCGCAGTGGTTGAGAGTCTGCCTGCCGATACAGGGGACACGGGTTCGTGCCCCGGTCCGGGAGGATCCCGCATGCCGCGGAGCGGCTGGGCCCCTAAGCCATGGCCGCTGAGCCTGTGTGTCCGGAGCCTGTGCTCCGCAACAGGAGAGGCCACAGCAGTGAGAGGCCCGCGTACCGCAAAACAAAAACAAAAACAAAAACAAAACATGATTTGAGTTTTGAGAGTAATCCCTTGCAAGAACTCAATTATTAGTTGTGAGGGTCTTAATTTTAATGTGAGGCCTCCACGTAGAGGGTGCTACCAGGACACCTAGCCTGTATTTTTCCTAAGTACATTGCATGAGCAGTCTTATTAGAGACAGGCAGGATGAGGTATTAGGGGGACTGTTAGAAATGCTCTTAGTATTTGAGGGGTTGGGACAGTGAAACATGGAGATGCTCGTTTTCATTCTGGCCCCTTAGTTCTGGAGACTCTGCTATTTCCCATTTTTGAGGATTCTTCCTCGATGTCTCCTTTATGTTTCGAGGCCTTTCTGTTTTTTCCTACCCTCGTGACCGCTACTGCAAAGAGCCTTTTAGGTGATCGCCTCACCCACTCCCCACTGCCTGTTCATCCCATGCTCCCGCCCTCCCAGAGCAGAGCCTTCATCCTCCATTCCCAGCTCTAAAGAGCCCTCACATGGCCCACGGCCTCCAGGACAGAGTCCACAATCTCGGCCTGTGACGAGCCGCCTTTCCCTGTCTCACCTTCCACTTTTCTCCTCCTAGGCCCTCTGTTACAGCCGAACCCAGGGATTCATCTCTGAATGTGCCTGCATAATTCCACTCCTCTCTCTCTCTTTTTTTTCCCCTTTCTTTTTAATGTCTTTGTGCTCCTGGGTTAGTACTCAATTAGCTGAAATTCCTTGATGATATTAATGAATCACACGTGAGGGTGTCCCTTTCCTTGTAGGATGATATCCGTCTCATTGAATTTTGTCAATGTAATTAGAGAAAACTTTTATCTCAACATTTTTATTTGTATTTATTTAATGAAATTGTGTCTTTTCAAATGCTTATTGGTCACCTGCCTTTTTCTTGTGAATTATTGTTTCATTCCACACCTCTCTTTACTCCCAAAGTTCCCCTCTGGACTGGACTCATCTCCACGCCACCTCTTCCGGGAAATCCTCCCCCATCTATTTCCCCAAGCTAGATGCAATTTTTACTTCCTCTCAACCACCATCATTCATCGGTTTAGATGTGATATGTTTATTTCAAATTATATTAGGGACCACATTGTATTCATCTCTGTGTCTACCGGTGGACGAAGAAATAGACGTAATGACGATTTCTAGTCCCAAAGCTAAACATCACTCCCTGAAGAACGAATGAGCCTCAAAGAGTTTTTTAAAAACCACAGCAGGAGCTCAGGTGATGTCTGCAGGCCTGCTGAGGCCCAGGGCTACCTTCCCAAGGGAGCACAGCCAGCACTGTACACAGATGCTCCCTCCAACCACCTGCCCTCGGGGATTCATCCACCCTGAGCTTAGAACTCCACCCAAGCCACAGTTCCCACCCGACAGAGAATCAAAATGTACGTGAGGTGACAAAAGACTCAAGTCCTGAAGAGACCAATTTCTTCCCCAGAGTATGTTTCTAAGGAGGAAGAAAAAGAAGAGAAAGGCTATCTGTTGCAGAGGCTGTAAGTTAAATTCCCTTTCCCCAAATACATTTTTCTGAAAGTCACCAAACTCTTTCAGAACCAACCTCTAAAGAGTGACATTAATAAAGAATGACACTGATGCAACATTGTGGCTTCCAAACTCAGTTACCAACTACTTCATATACTTGACTGACTCATTAAAAAAAAAGAAAGATGTAGAGAGACAGTCTGGTATGGCGCAGTGGGGTTCTGGAGGTCCAAGCCTGTCTCCCACACGGCTGAATGTCCTCAGATTAGTTCTTAACTTCTCTAAGCCTCAGTTCCCTCCTTTGTAAAATTAGGATAATATTACTAGGCACGTGATAAGACTGAATGGATAATGTGTGTGTGAAACACTTAGCACGGAGCCTGCACACGTAAGGACTAAACAATTACAGCAATGATAATTTCAGCTAAGACAAACTACCGAGAGCGCAGGCTCTGTAAGTGGAGAGAGGTAGGTTAGTTGGTACTTCAACACCAAGATATTCAGACTGGCCTTTTACCAGTCCCCCACGCATGTGTTAGATGTTAAGTAAAGACTATTACAGACAGCACTTAAAAGTCCAAGAATGGCTAAAGAAAAGCCTACTTTTACACATGCTCTAGACACTGAGTCTGAGCCTTGGGTGCATCTAAGGACTTTTTAAATTTCTGTGTTACTCTAGTTGTTTACTGTTAGGTACAACTGAGTCACCATGTGTCCCAGATTGCCCCAGACATTCAAGGTTTAAGCCAGTTGTCCCAGCATAAGTATTAAACAGTGACCCTTCTCAAGTATGTTCTGATTTCGGACAATAATGCAGACGGTCACCCTATACAACAGAACCTTCCTTGCTTACATGAAGAAATTTCTCTGCTTTCACCCACTGAGCAATCTCAAAAACAACATCGGTGCATTTCTAAAGCTGCTTGTTCACATTCTGCAAGGAGCCTGGGACCGTGGACAACTGGGCCTTGTGTTTCCAAACAGCTTCAAAGGGGAAGATGGGTTAACCTCGGGAGCACTGCCTGTGATCAAGGGTTTGCATTAAATTTTTATGAGTAAAAGTAAACTTTGAAGAATGAGAGCCAGTCCTAACAATTTGAGAAGAGCATTTTTCAATTATCTTTCGTAATATGAAGGCACACGTAGTCAATAATTTACATTTAAAGAAGGCTTCCAACTAACATCTTTGGGCCCCAGTAAGTCCCAGCATTGGCTTTACTCATTGGAGATAAACAGTTCAGGACACTATGAAATTAAAACACCACCATCAACACTCCTTGAAGCTGGATAAAGAAATAAGAAGTTTCAATAGTTACATTAAGACAGTTAGCTTTTATAGAATTCAGAAATATTATTCTACTTAATCTCTCCTTAAGACCTTGGGACTACAAAAGGAGTCAATTATGTTGACATAAAAACTGATTTTTTTTTTCTCCCAAAGTAGCAATAAGTATGCATCCTCTTTCTTTACCGTTTCTGAGAGCTTGTTTATACAAATTAGATAGATATTCAACCAAAAGCTTAAAAAATATTTACCTAGATATCTGGTTAAAATATTCCGGAATAATATCACGCAACACTGCAAAACATGACGACGTACTGTGTACGGCAGAATCAAATAAATAAATACGCTAAAGAGTATTTTCCAGTATTCACTGTTACAAAATCATAACATCTCCTGATACAAACAACTAGATTGTATAACGTCCCCACCTCGCTTTTTAGAACCAGCAAAAAAAAAAAAAAAAGGTGGAGAAACTCAGCAAAACAAAGTGGCGAGAAAAGTCGGGGGAGGGGCGCTGGAAGCGAAGGGGCGGAGAAACACGACACCAAGGCGGTGATATCACCCACAGCCAACTGCATGGAATTCAGAAAGTTAAGTGTCACCCAGCAATTTCAGTCCGGGCTTGCGGCGCGCCTGCACAGCGTGGCGGCGGCGGCACCCGCCTGGGAAGCAGGAAGGGGGAAGGGCGGTTTGACTGAGTTCGCTCGGGGGCAGCAGAGGCCAGGGCCACCCGCCTCCCCGCCGGCGTGCGTTCAAGCCCCGGGTCGGGAGCGTTGTCCATGGCTCTGCAATGATTTCATCGTTTCGGAGAAGCGACCGCCCGGACCGCGGCTGCCACGTGCCTGGTCCGGCCCCGTGCGCTGCGCCGGGGGACGGACCCGGACGCGGCCGCGGTCACCGCGGGTCGCAGCGGCGAGCGGAAGGAAAGGGCTGGCGCCCGGAGATGGGCTCGGGCTTGCCAAAAACGGGCGGGGGGATTGCTCCACGGAGACGGCCGGCCGCGGGGGGCTGAACTCCTGCGCACCGCCACCTCCCATCCCCGAAAGGGGGAAGGCCGGAGTGCCCGGCAGGTTTCGCAACTCCGAAGGCGGATGCAGGCGGTGACCGGGCGGGATGGAGCAGCAGCGCTCGCCCGGAGACCCCGGCCCAGCCGAGACCCGTTCCCGGCCTGCGCCCCGCCGTGCAGTGCGCGCTCCCAGTGGCGTGGCCGTGGCGGTCCGGCCCCTGCCCAAGCAGCGGGCCACCCGCGTAGGGGACAGTGGCGGCCGCGGGGCCCGGCGCCGCGCAGGTCGCAGCCCGCCACTCCTTCCGCGTTCCGTGCCCTCGGCGCCTCCTCCCCGGGCCCCAGAGAAATGCCTGTACCTTCCACAGCCTCCTCCACCATCTCGTCGTCGCTATCCATGGCGGCTGGGGACCCTGCCCAGCTCGGAGCCGCGCGGCTGCCTCCCGTCCCTCCGGGTGCTCCCGGCGGCTGAGCGAGCGCTGGGGCTGAACCCTGCGAGTTTGGAGGAGGAGGAAGAGGAGGAGCAGTCGGGGCTGGCTCGCACTGCCTCCCCCTAGAGCCCTTTCAATTCCTTGGCCTTAAGCCGCTCCCGCAGCAGCCGTCCCTCCTCCTTCGCCCACTTGCCCCTCGCTTCCGAGGCTCCGGGGTGCCGCCGTGGCCGCCGCCGCCGCTGCAACTTTCTCCTGTAATACCCCCTCTTTGTTATCGAGCAGCTGATCCGCTGACATCACCCAGCGCCGGTGCGCTCCCTCCCTCGCTGATTGACAGTTCCCCGTCCCTTCCCAGAAGTGAGGCTCCTTAAAACGAAAGACGCTCGGGGTCCGCGCTGACGCTACGCCCCAGCCCACCAGCCCCCGGGCCCATCAGGGTTTATCTTCTGCTTCTGCGAGGCTTGGTGCGCTCCGAGCGCCAAGCCTGGTCCTGGGCGCCGCGGGCTCCTCGCGGGCACTTGGGACCTCTGGGTATCCGCCCTCTGGGGCTCAGAACTCCGACCTCCAACTGTGCCGGGGACCACTTGGAAGTCCGCGTGCAGTGCCCGCCAGTCCCCCCTCGGGACAGCCTCCAAAGAGCAAGGCAAGCTAAGGCAGCGTTCCTAAAGCTCCAGCGCCTCAACTTCCTCTCGCCCTCGCCCCCACTTCACCCCGTTTGCCACCCGGAGCTGCACGAGTGCGGCACGCACTGGAGAGCAGGTGTCTCCGCGTTGCCGCATCACATCCGCGAGCAGGTTTCCCAAACTCAAGGGGGTGACATCCAGCCCAGATGCGGGCCTGCGGCTCCCACCCGTGCGCGCTGCGTCCCCACCCTCCTCGGGACTGTCAGGCGTCTCGGGTGATTCAGAAATTCAGCAGATCCAAATGGCAGCGGGCTCTTTATCAGGCAGGAAACAAGCGGCGCGGAAGGCCTGGCAGTTCCCTCCTCGCGCTTGTGGTAAAAGAAAAGGAGCCACCGAGCGGAGCTACTGAGGAGGGACCCTCCGTCTGGCACGCCTCCCCCCCCTGTACGTGTGATGTCCCCAGCCGTCTCCCTGTTTCTCCAAGTGCCAACCTTCCACAGATTCGGGCTCTTTAAGCGGAGAACATCACGGGGCACCCGCTTCGCAGCCCCGCCACTTAGCGTCATTATGGCGTTGCCTCTTACAGGTGGCGGCAAAGGGCGGCTGTAAATAGCTGGTTAAATGGATGCAAATGTACACAATGTGCCGTGGAATTACCGGGTGCCGCTTTGGGTGTCTGCCAAGAACAGCTACTGCACGGAGGGGGCGGGGGGAGGATAGGAGAGAGCCGAGAAAGTTGTTCCATTTTGTTTTCCGAACCACGAATGAGACTTTGTGGATTTCAAAGTACTTCCAGTACCCGGGAGACCACGCCTTGCTTTTGACTTTGTGCTTAAATGCCAGGTATTTTTATCGAGTATTGTGAGTTTCTTATTAAATTCAGTTTTTCCTCTGCGAAAAAAGAGAACAATGCTAGGGACATTTGTCCCATACACTGCCAGAAATTTCAACCCCTTCTGACTGTTTCAGAAAGAGAGGGAAGGGCCCTGGACCAGGCGTTAGGAAACTTGGGTCCTCGTGCTGCTCACCTGCCTAAGGGCCCTGGGAAGACACACCTCCCAGCCTGAATTCCTCCCCTAGGAGATCCCAGGCTTCGGCTACACTGGTGTCAGGCCCTCCAGCTTAGACTAGAGGCTCTGAGTTCCCCCCAGCTTAGGCTAAGTTGATGAGAGGTCCTTCCGGCTTAGTCGATACCTTTCTGAAGTCTTCTGGCTTAAATTGAACCTCCTTAAAGTCCTCCAGAGCAGATACCTGGGCTCCAAAGCTGCAAAGAGAAGAGGTTCTTGCAGTGGAAGATGAAAGCCCCACTTTGGATTACATCATTTTCAAACATGACCCACAGAAACAGGATTTTATTTCTGATTAAAAAGAAAAACAAACAAAAACCAGCCATCATGTACTGAGCTTGGTCACTCACTGGTTTTGAGTTATATGATATTTTTTGTCATTTTCCCCTTTTAAACATATCATCTCCTCTCTTACATGTTACACTGATGCACAAAAACCTGCCAGATAATCATCTTCTCCAGTTTCCAGGGCAAAAAAAAAATGCCAAGGGACTTCCCTGGTGACGCAGTGGTTAAGAGTCTGCCTGCCAATGCAGGGGACACAGGTTCGAGCCCTGGTCCGGGAAGTTCCCACATGCCGCAGAGCAACTGAGCCCGTGCATCACATCTGTGCTCTAGAGCCTGTGAACCACAACTACTGAACCCACATGCCACAACTACTGAAGCCCCCGCGCCTGGAGCCCGTTCTCCGCAACAGAGAAGCCACCGCAATGAGAAGCCCGCGCACCACAACAAAGAGTAGCTCCCGCTCGCCGCAACTAGAGAAAGCCCGCGCGCAGTAACGAAGACCCAACGCAGCCAAAAATAAATAAATAAAATAAAATAAAAAAAAAAAAGGTTTGCTCATGAGGCAGGCAACACCTGGGACACAGTCCCAGCCCCCTCCCCCCACCACTCGTGCCTGCTGGCTCCGGGCCCAAAGTTTAGGCAAAATGTTTTGATGACTCCCTTAAGAGCCATTTGCATTTTTACACATCATTTTGTGTGTTTTCAATCCCCTTCTCTAGACTGACTGACTGATTCTTCTTTATAGCCCCAGAACCCAGCACAGTGCCTGGTACAGAAGGAAGGTGAAGCTTTGTCAGTGATGATTGTGCAGAGAGGAATATTCTGTTTTATATAAACAGTGCTGAGTCTTTCTCACACACTGCATCCTCTTCCTGTGTTTGGCAAAATGCTTTGTTTCAGTTCGAGTCTGAAGAGCGTTTTTGAGTTCTATTTTCCCACATCTACTGGCCCCAAATCTGCTTCCATTGCATTCTTTCCCACAGTTTTCTTCATTGAGAGCTCATTTCATAAACCCTCTTTCCACTTGGCTTCCCGCCAGTCTCCTCTGTCATACTCTGTCCCCACCAGTGTGGTCATGGGCTAGAAAATCAATCATTGAGCTCTTAATCACAGTGTGGGGCGGCGGCAGCAGAGCTCAGCTCCTAACTCAGCAGATCCCGATGCACCAGAACAAGCCCTACCAGGGACGAAAGGGGTGGCTCAGGACACCCCACAGCCAGGCTCTGGGGTGGGACTGGCTTCCACGCTCACGCCAAGGAGTGGCTCTTCTGAGCTGCCCTGCCTTTCTTCCTCTGCATCCAAGGATAAATCCTTTTCTTCCCACTCAGCTTGGGCAACAGAAGTCCCTCTTCCACTGCAGGAAGCAGTCAAAATACTGAGTTATTTTATTCATTTTACCACCCATGTCTTTCCACAGAGAAGGCTGGTGCTTACTTACAGGACTGATATAACTTTTGCAATAAATATCTTTTCATAGGCATCATGTATTTTATGCGTCTTTTTACACTGAGGGGGAAAAATTCTGTCAATTCACCACTATGTGTGCTGGCAAATAGCGAAAAGCCTAGTGGATGTGGGACTTGTGTGGAACTCATTAGTCTGGCTGTCACTGAGCCCTCATCCTGTCCTGCTGGTAGGGGCTGGAGGGGCCCAGGAGGTCTTCAGGGTCTTCATGCTCCTACGAGGCAGAGCCTCGTCAGGTGTCCTGGTGGATCTATGACTGGCGTGCCCGCTCTGCTTTGATCTTTTGCTTACACTAATGGCAGGGAGATGAGGGCAGAATGAGTGAAGGAACTCTTAAATAATCATCAATACTCTTATCGGCACTGCTCATCCCTTAACAAGACTTTTTCCCACCACATCTGCCAATGTGATTGAGTTTTCACCCTGTTTCTTTTGGTTCCTCCAAGGGCTAGCCATGCAACTGGTCAATTAAGCCCTCTGGACCTTAGTTTTCCCATCTGTAAATGAGGAGGTTGGGCTACCAAAATGCTAAGCTCAAACCTTCTCTGTCCACCTTTCCTGGGGAAAAGCTAAATAGAGCATGAAGAGCTCCGGGGACATGCACAGAAAAAGAAAGGGGAAGAAGCAGGGGCAACCCTGGCAAATGGAATATTCAAGCCCCCGTGTCATCTCAGCGTAAGGGCACTGAGATCTGGGGGTGAGGGAGGAACTTTATCTTGCTCTGGGAAGAGAAACATGGGCCTTTCAGAAGAACCAAGGTTCTTGGCTTCTGAATCACTGAGTTACTAATCAAGTGGCTAACTGTGTTAGTGACAACTGCAGAAGCTGGAGGGAGGGGCGGGGAGAGCAGCGCTGAGAAGAAGGGTGTGGGGGAAGAGATGTGGATGAAAGGGAAGCATTTACAGCATGTGGAGCAAAGAGCAACTGGTAACATCAAGGGCACCAAATAAAGGTCTGGGAGCAAAGGAGGAGATGGAGAAAATTCATTCTGCTGGAAATAGACACGACTGCGGTCATGAAGAGGACTCACAAATTCAGGGTGACCTGATTTGATTACAGCAACAGGAAGTGCAGGGGAGAGAGGGCAGGATGACCTGACCTGAGGAAGTGAATTAAATAAGAGAGAAGACATCACAGTTGCCATGGCATTTAAATATCTTGCACCACATTAAGCTTATTTTTCTCTCTTTGGCTTGATTCTTGTTCTTGCAACATGTTAATGTCATCACAGTATATCCTGTAAACTAAATTTAGCCCTTTGGGGGCATGGAGGAAAGGAAGACACAGCCCAGGTCTCCCTATTTGGGTCCACTCTGGACAAATATTCTTCCTCCGCAGTGTGCCTGCTTCTTTTGGTCTTCCATTATGGGATATGAAAACCCTTGTCAGGCTTGGGTCTGGTGAAGCTGCTGAATGACATGATTCGAAAAAAAAAAAAGAAGAAGAAAGAAAAATTGGAAACGATTTCAAAGAGGTGATTGCTTTAGAAAGTACTTCAGAAAAATCAATAGGATGCAGGAATTTGAAAACTACAATGACCATCAAAGCCAAATGTGTTTTCTTAAGTATCAGTTTATTTTATTGCTTTTAAAAAAAATTATTTTACTGGGCTATAATTAAAGTTATTGGGTCCTGTAATCAGTCGTATGCAAATGCTAACTTTGCAGGGGTGGGTACATTGTGTATCTTTTAACATTACTGTCCACAGAGTGAATGGAAGGGCATTTCCAGCTGTCTTATTTATCACAAATGTCACAACATTCATCACGGCCGAGATCCTGACCTTCCTCAAATAAACTCGCATTAACCAGACCCCAGAGACTGTTGGACATACCCAAATTATGAGCAGCAGACCAGAATACTCACGTTGCCATGCAAGATCAGTCTCTAAAGATAAATGTACTTGAGAAGACAAGTTCCATCCGGATGTTTGCTTAGCCTGGAGTTAGAATAAATGAAATTTGTTGTATGGTCCACAGAGAAATGCCCCTGACACAATGCCCTGAAAGAATGAGGCACCCACCCCACCCCCATCCATCCTTGCTTAGATGGCCCTGCCACCTTCTGAGAGTTTGGGCTTCCTTTCCGTATGCACTAGTCTCTTCAAACCAGTTTCTCCACACAGCATCCTATACACCTAACTAGGCAGACTTACACTTTTAAAGTCATAATCACATTC